GTTTGTTTAAAATATATATCTAGATCATTATATTTGTCTGTAAATTAGCCCATTGCCTATAAGTGATTGATTTTTTTTTGTGGGACCCTGGGGGGGGGGGAGTACACTTGTTAGAGGTTTTTGAAGATAACCACTATGAAAACTGATAGCTGTATGAATCGGTGTTTCCCCTACAGAGGCAGCACACCTTAACGTGGAGCTTGTTAAGCAATCAATGGCACAGACGCAAGTAAAATATTGCAAATACGGTAGTATAATGTCTTGGTAAACATGAGAATTTGAAAGTCATAAAATTAAAGATTTGATATGCGTAAGATCAATAGACATGGCTTATCACTATATAATATGAGATTTAATTTTTAAATGCCTTGGTCCAGTGAAAAAGTGTACTGTACAGGAAAACTGAAATTTCAATAAAGAATCAAGACAAAAGAAACAAACTTTATATTAAAGTACCTGTAAGAGGCGATACTTATACTTACGCAGCAACCTCTTCCTTTGATAATCCTTTGAAATTCACTTCCACATAATGATCTATGTCATCTTTTTCTTTGATCAGTTGAGCTCTAAATGAAAGGGAAAGAAATAATAAAACACTGCATTATCAAGTTGAAACACCACCAGACAGATCAAATGCCACTAGGATAATAGAAATATTCAGGGAATAATACCATATATAATGAATGTTCTGCGATAGCTACAGAGTTCATAATTGGCTGATAATTTCAAAATTTGAATTTTTCTGAATGGAAAAAGATAATAACATACCAACACAATCCAGGGATCTGCACCTTTATATACACTGAGCTTTCGCTCAAAGCTGATAAAGTCTTCCATTGCTCACTGGGTCTCACAATCTAACTTCCCAAATACTGAAGGCACATGTTGTGGGAAATAGGATCTTGAACTAAGAATACCTATTTGATACAAATGCTTAAAATTCATTTGCTCTAAAGATTGCATTTTGCTCTGAAATTTGATTTGCATCTGAGTTAGTTAATTGTGCCAGCCTGGCCGATAATCACATGTGGGGCTAATTGAAAGGCGGAGGGATAAATGGATGGTGAGCCTCGCCTTTCTAGTTCTCGGGTCTCTTGTTTTGTGATGGTTGTACTGGCGCAGCTGCCTTAGCAGTTCCCTGCTTCAGCTTGCAAGATTGACTTCCTACAAGACATCCACAAGGAGAAGCTACATGGACCTATCCCGATGCAGCCCTGGGTGCTGGAGCAGCCGTGTGGAGACCCCTGCCAGTGCTGAGTTGCTTGTTCAGTTCACTGACTCAGCTTTCCTCCTGCAGTCGGCATCATTGCCTCTGTTTTGTGAGGTGGAGGACTTTGTGGACTGGTGTTTTAATGGGTTAATGTTGGACTTGTGGGCTTGGGCAGCATTGGGTTGGGATGTTTTCATGATGCACACTTTCTTTACATAAAACTCTCTTATACATGAGTTGCTGTGGATTTGTTTCGCCAAAGTACCTAGACTAATACAGCATCGTTATTGCATATAAAACTTAAAGGACTATTAAAAGTTCAAGCACAAAATGATTTTCTAAAGTCCTTACTTGAGAAATTGATTATATTTATAGCATATTCATTTTAAACACCAACTTACACCTTTAAAAATCAGCATGCTGTTCATATCTCATAACCATGAAAACAAAGGTAAGGTTATTTAAGAATATAACAGGTATATAAATAAATACCTGGTCTTTTCCCTTTAGAAGCAATTAGAGAAAATTGATCCACAATTTTGCCTTATATAATTAAAAGCTTTTCTGTAGTAAAATGAACACAAGAAAAAAGTTTTCTTTAAAATTCATCTGATTTTGAGGGATATAAGATTGGCTATTCTTTCCTTGAAAATAAATTATAATCCCAAGAATTAAGAACAACAGAAGGAACAGGTTTTATTCAGATTTTTCATATATATATTTATAAATAATGGTGTGTGTATGTGTGTGTACACACACATACACACACACACCAGAATTTTAAAAAATAATTTTATTAGGGGCTCATACAACACTTATTACAATCCATACATACAGCAATTGTGTAAAACACATTTCCACATTCATTGCCCTCATCATTCTCAAAACATTTGGTCTCCACTTAAGCCCCTGGCATCAACTCTTCATTTTTTCCCTCCCTCCCCACTACCCACCTCCCTCATGAACCCTTGATAATTTATAAATTATTTTGTCATATCTTGCCCTGTCCGACGTCTCCCTTCACCCACTTTTCTGTTGTCCATCCCCCAGTGAGGAGGTTATATGTAGATCCTTGTAATCGGTTCACCCTTTCCAACCCACCTTCTCTCCACCCTCCCATTACCTCCACTCTCACCACTGGTCTTGAAGGGATCATCCATCCTGGACACCCTGTGTTTCCAGTTCCTATCTGTACCAGTGTCCATCCTCTGGTCTAGCCAGATTTGTAAGGTAGAATTGGGATCATGATAGTGGGGTGGGGGGGGCCTTGAAGGAAGCATTTAGGAACTAGAGGAACGTTGTATTTTTCATCATTGCTACATCGCATCCTGACTGGCTCGTCTCCTCCCCGAGATGATTCTGTAAGGGGATTTCCAGTGGCTTAAAAATGGCCTTTGGGTCTCCACTCTGCACTCCCCACTCCTCATTCACAGTGACATGATTTTTCATTCTGATGATGCCTGATACCTGATCCCTTCAATACCTCATGATCGCACAGGCTGGTGTGCTTCTTCCATGTGGGCTTTGTTGCTTCTGAGCTAGATGGCCACTTGTTTACCTTCAAGCCTTTAAGATCCCAGATGCTATATCTTTTGATAGCCGGGCACCATCAGCTTTCTTCACCACATTTGCTTATTCACCCGCTTTGTCTTCAGCAGTTGTGTCAGGAAAGTGAGCATCATAGAATGCCAGTTTAGTAGAAGAAAGTATTCTTGCATTGAGGGAGTACTTGAGTGGAGACCCAATGTCCATCTGCTACCTTAATACTAAACACATAAATATATGCACATAGATCTATTTCCCCATCCTCATATATAAATATATTTACATATGTACAGGCCTTTATTTAGACCTCTATAAATGCCCTTTGCATCCTAGCTCTTTCCTCTATTTCCTTTGACTTTCCTCTTGTCCCACTATCATGCTCAGTCTTCATTTGGGTTTCAGTAATTCCTCTCGGTTACGTTACCCTTGATCACGCCCTACCAGGCCTCCTACACCCTCCTCACCACTGATTTGGATCATCTGTTGTTCCATTGTCCCTGGGTTTGTTAACACCACTACCCCCTCTCCCATGTCCCCCAGGAACTGTCGGTCCCATTGTTTTCTCCTCCAGATTGTTCATTCAGCCTATCTTATTTAGACAGACCTGCGCAGATAATAACATGCACACAAAAAAAGACAGAGCAAAACCAAGCAACAAAAGAAAAGAAAATAACAACAACACCAACGAGCCAATGACAAAAAAACACAACAAAAAGAAAGAAGATCTTGTAGTTAGTTCAAGGACTGTTTGTTGGCTTTTAGGAGTGTTTTCCAGTCGAATCTGTTGGGGCACGGAGCCCTGGCCCAAAAGTCTATTTTTGGTATTCCTTGGGGATTTCATTACTCTGTTCCCCTTACTGTTCTGTTCCAGGCCCCTTACACACACCAGAATTATATCTCTTTTGGATGATTTCTCAACCACAGAAAAAGAAAATTATGACTTTCTTCCTTACAAGAACTTCATGTAGGTTTTGCTTAATGGACATGTATTGTCTTGAGGGGCTTCAGTCATCCTCCAAACACGAGGTAGAGCCCTTTTCAGAGCCTAGAGCTCTTGTAACAGGGATCATTATGCCTTACAGGGATTGAAAAGATCACACATAAAGACTATCCTCAGACCTCCAAGCACAAATTCCTCATACTGAAGCTCAGTAGGAAATATGATACACCATAATTAACAGAGAATGAAATGACCAATAAACATCAATTTGTCAAATGTTATTCGAAATTGAATGAAGCACGTCAACACATCTGAAAGAGCAAATTTGAATATTCAAAACTGTAATGCTCTCCCGGTGTTTTTTTCTGGCACACAACTGTATTTTCTGAGATAATGCTACTGCAGGAAATCCATTCTGTAGGGCAAGGAAGGGAAGCAATGAAGGTCACATACCTTGGGAGGACTTTGGAGGAGCATGGCAGCTTCTGTCGCGCTATGGACGCAAGCTTTGGACGGATCAGTGGCAGTGGGGGCAGGGTGGTCATTTTGCCCTAAAAAAAAATCAACAGAAATAGTATTTTTAAAAATAAATCTTGGATAGAATTCTTTAAGAATGATTAGAGATGCAGAATCTGTCAGATGAGCTGGGAATCCCCAGTGCATAGGGCTGTAGTTCTGTTAGTCACGAATGGTATTCATTGAGTGGACGCTGCAGATGGCGTCTCTCATTTTTTCTACAATTTGCCTTTTGGCCAATTTATTACCTATCTACATTTCCACCTCGAACTGGGTAAGGAGAAAATCTGATAAATGAATTCAAGATGCAGACAATGGGCAGCTTTGGGAAGAATTTTGTTAGGGACACGGCTGCTGTTGAAGAGTCAAGATTTTTTTTTGAATGACTCTGGATCTCAAATGTTTGGGCTTTGCTTTCTTGTTACAATCACACAGATTGAAAAGTGCTCACACATAGCTGTTTTCCAAAACCTTTTCTACAACCAAGTAAAGAGTTTCTCATAGAAGCGATAGACAGGAAGAACCATTGTTCACTAGACCGTTGCTATTGCCCTGAGAGAGTGCATAGCTGCTAACACACCACGTCAAAATGCAGCCTCTTAAACAAGACTGGTTAAAAGAATGATTGTGTCATCACCTCTCACTGTCAATGTGGGTCAAGAAGTAGGACGGGACACAATTGGGTGGCTTTTCGGTTCTACAAGGACTTGGTCCTTCGATGGGAAGACTTAAAGTTTGTCGTTTCAAATTGTTAAAAGTTGGGGTTAACTTTATAGTGGGTCCTGGAGGGGCTTGAGGCCGCTCACTCCCATGTCTGGTGGTAGATGCTCAACATCGGCTCAGGCCTCAGCTGGGCTATCTGGGAACACTAACAGGTGACCTCCTCACACATTTATCTGACGTCAGGCATGGCAAGTTCAGACTTCTTAGGTGGGAAAGCAACTTTCTCAAAGAAAAAGACCAGGTGGAAACCGCATCCCCTTTTGACTGGCTGTAAGGTTACCTGATGTCACTTCTGCTGTGATAACAGAGCTGCCCAGTTGTTGATGTCAAAATCACACTGTAAGAAGAGAATATGGATGGGGAGATATTGTTGCAACCAGCTTTGGAAAATACAGGCCAACAATAATAGGCAGGTCTATAAAAATCAGGTTGTAGAAAACGCATTGCAATGAAGGAGAGTAGACATGATTTCTATGAACTGTATTTGTTTAAGTCATATGCTACCAAGGTTCTCAGATGCAAAAGAATTAATACTTCTATGTTACATTGGCATCCAAAAGACTACCAGTCTCTATGCCTCTGAGACCAAACAAGTAGCCACCACTGTCAATTGCTCTGAAATATCACCTTAGAAATTCATGGGTAGAGTGGGGGGAATATGGAATACAACTAGAAGAGTTAGTTGGCTACAAAGCCTGGTGGAATCCCTGGGACTATGGTCCTTTCACTCTTCAGGGTTGGAAATGAATTCACCCCCAAGACTCGATTTTCAGTCAATCAATAGACAGAGCTATAAAGGGAACACTAATACTCGAGAGGTATACACACCTAAGACATCAGAAGGGCAGTGTTTACTTGAAGACAAAGTTCATAAGAATTAGGAATGAAGGAGGAATGAGAACAAGAGAAACAGAAGGATAAGCGATGGATAAGCAATGGTACAGGGTGGGGGGGGAGCACATCAATGGCACGAAACAAAGTGTGTATGAATTGTTCAATGGAAAACTGATCTGCTCCATAATTCACAGTAATTTTTTTAATCAAGTCTTCTCAATTTCACAAGTGATTGTTTTTATAATATTGGACTTTTACCTTCAGCCCCAGAAGTTAACAAGTGACCAGAATGATGGTTTCAGGTTTGAAATCTCTATCCTTCAGCACTCTTGACCTAAGATAAATCACAAACTGCGTCTTCAATATAGTCAACAGGTATTTATTGAGCTACTACTAGGTTCTGGATAGATAGCAGTGAATCAAAAAGCATAAATCTCTGATTTGAAGAGTCGGGGTGGCACAAACAAACAAAAGTCAGACAATACAGAAGCAAAATATATGGACTGTCAGATCATGATAAAATCTTCAGGAATAAAATAATAATAAAGAAAATGAGTAAGATATGAACTGCTTGCATGCTCACCAGTAAAGAAGGGATAAATAAAAGCAGAAGATGAGGTGAAGGATTTGATGATGTAGCGTCTTGTAGATTTTACTATAAATATGTTCATTGCAGGTTGCAGAAGGACCAACAACAGAGAGGCCACCTGGCAGACTACTGTGGAATCTGGTAGATCAGGTGGAGAGTGAGGTAGAGGGAGCTGGTTTTGTCCAAGAGAGACAGAGAATTTGTAGAGTTTGGAGACACAACATCCCCCAAGTGTTACAAAGTTCAGAAAGACGGGAGAGGAAAAGACAGGGGAGAAACACTGCCAGGAAAATCTTTTGAAATTTGGGGTAAAAATGGGCAGTCTTATGCTTCGAAAATTATTTCTTGTATATGATGGTTTTTTTGTTTGTTTTTTGTTGTTTTTTTAATCATTTTATTAGGGGCTCATACAACTCTTATCACAATCCATACATACATCAATTGTGTAAAGCACATTTGTACATTCATTGTCCTCATCATTCTCAAAACATTTCCTCTCCACTTAAGCCCCTGGCATTAAGTCCTCATTTGCCCCTCCCTCCCTGTTCCCCTCTCCCTCATGAGCCCTTGATAATTTATAAATTGTTATTTTGTCATATCTTGCCCTCTCCGACATCTCCCTTCACCCACTTTTCGGTTGTCCCTCCCCCAGGGAGGAGGTCACATATAGTTCCTTGTAATCGGTTCCCTCTTTCCTACCCACTTTCCCTCTACCCTCCCAGTATCGCCACTCACTCCACAGGTCCTGTAGGGCTCATCCGCCCTGGATTCCCTGGATTTCCTGTTCCTATCTGTACCAGTGTACATCCTCTGGTCTAGCCAGACTTGCAAGGTAGAATTCGTGTCATGATAGTGGGAGCAGGGAGGAACCAGGAAGCATTTAGGAACTAGAGGAACGTTGTATATTTCATCGTTGCTACATCGCACCCTGACTGGCATTTTATATAGTTTAAAGGCAAAATTCTAATACATATTGGGTATTTTTAGATAGAAAATCATTGCCCTGGAGTGAACTCCATGTGCATCAAAGTAGAACTGTGCTCCCTGGGGTTTTTAATGACTGAGTTTTCAGAAGTAGACGACCAAGACTCGTTTGAGGTGCCTCTGGGTGGACTTCAGCCTTTAATCTTTCAGTTAGCAATCAAGCACATTAACTCTCTGTACCACCCAGAGACTCCTTTGAGATGTGTTGTTGATATATCTGATGAGTTGATTTGGGTTCGTAGAGATCCCACTGAACAGAGTAGAACTACCATAGAGGGTTTCCAGTGCTGCGGTCATTATGGGGGCAATCACCACATTTTTCTCCCACAGAGCCCATGGTAGATTTGAGCCACTGACCTTTCGGTTAGCAGCTCAGCTGCTTAACTAGTGCATCACCAGGGTTCTTTTAGATATAACAAAACCCTCGTATCCAAAATCTGAAGACATGATCATATCTGTGAAGCACACTGTCCACTTATTTTTATACAATAGCTTAAAAGTATGCAGTCTGAACAAGAGTAAGCCATCTTCTCTAGAGTAAACATTAGAAAATTATTTATATTTCATTTAAAAGTGACGTAGTTCTTCCATTTTAAAAAATCTTATTTTTCTGATCAGATCTTATATTAACTAATTGAATTACTTGGATAACAAGAGCTTACTAGAGCATGGCAAAATTGCAGTATGTGTGGTAAGAACTCATGACCAACATGGGGTCTGACCCACATGCAGATTAGACAGGACTACCAAGGTTTTCCAAAGCCATCTCCCATGCGCCCACTTCAGGGAGACTGTGGAACTTGGTGTCCCAGCGTCTTCAGAGGCTACAGAAAAGATCTGGACCAACTCAGCTCTTAATCTGAACCTGTTTAAGCCCATGTTATTGTAATTTGGTGCCATCGAGTTAGTTCTGCCTCCTAATGACCCTCTGTACCACAGAACAAAACACTGCCAGGTCCTGAGTTATCCTCACAATTGTGTTTGAGCCCATTGTTTCAGCCGCTGTCTCAATGCAGTGCATCGAGGGTCATCTTCTTTTGTCACTGATCTACTTTATTTACGAAGCATGATGTCTTTCTCCGGAAGTGGGTCCTTCCTAATGACAGCTCCAAAATATGTGAGATGAAGTCCAGCCTTCTCACGGATATGGAGTATTCTGGACATAGGTCTTCCAAGACAGATGTCTTCATTCTTCCCACCAAGTAGTCAATATTCTTAGCAACCAGCTCACTGTCATTGATGTGCATCAATTCTTCTCAGGGCTTCCTTATTCAAGGTTCAGCTTTCACATGCATAGGAGGCAATTAAAAATACCTTGGCTTGGGTCCAGAGAATCTTAGTCCTCAAAGCAATATAGTTGCTCTTAAACACTTTAAAGGGGTTTTGTGCAGCAGATTTGACCAGCATAGTGCATCCTTTGATTTCTTGACTGCTGCTTCCATCAGCATTGTTGTGGATCCCAGTAAAATGAGATCCTTGACCACTTCAATATTTTCTCCATTTGCCAAGATGGTCTAGTTGTGAGGTTTTTTATTTCATTTACATTAAGTTGCAATCCAACAGAAGGCTGCAGTTCTGGATCCTCATCAGCAAGTGCTTCAAACTCACCTCATTTTCAACAAGCAAGGTTGTGTCAACTGCATAACACAGGCTGCTAAAAACGCCTTCCCCAATTATGAGTTTCAAAAGGGAGTAGGAAATAAAAAACTCACCGCTCTTGCTCAGTCTTACATTCTATCTCCTGTGAATTAGAAGTCTGTTCTGAAGGTCTTTGGCTTACCAAGGCAATGTGAAATTGACCATGGAGACCCAGGAGCTTCAACATGAACAAAGAGTATTTGTAATTTTCCCCAAATATACTCAAAGACTCAGTTACTTATAGATTAACAAGCGAGTGGGTCCCGGATCTGACCCAATTTTGTCTGCCTCATCAAGGTGTGTACCTGTTGCTGTCAAGTGCTGCCAAGATGTACTGACTCATGGCAGCCTCCTGGGTACCAAGTAGAGCTGCTCCTTGGACTTCTCAAGGCTGTGGTCTTTGGGGAGCAAACAGCCAGGCCTGTCTTCTAAGGAGCTCTGGTTGTGTCTGAACTGCCAGCACTTCTGCTAGTAGTTGAACACTTAACTGGCGGTTGCCAAGGTCTGCCTCAGATGCATATCTGCCCCACAAAAGTTGCCCTACTAGCATGCTCTTATGCCATTTATAGAAAATGCATCCTGCTTAATGTTTACTTGAGGCGGATAATTTTTGCTAGCAACAATCAATTTCTCGCATGAAATCAATTACGCATCCTACACAGAGAGATCCAGTGCCTGCTTTGTCACACAGGTCTACTGCAAATTTTTTTTTTTAATTCTCAGTCAGCGTTTTCTACCATTAAAGTTTCAGCTGCCAACCCCTTCATTTTGCTCTCCTCTGATCTGAGAACATTCGCAGCAGGAGGACCTTTACTCTGAAATTTAGTTTAATGTAAGCATTGCAAGCCCTGCTGGCGAGCCTCAAGGCACAAACTCTGACTGGGGGGCAGTCAGAGCAGAAGGATAAAGTGAGAAAAAGTTATTAATAGAATGAGGGTGGAAATTTTCTCTCTATACCAATCTGAGTTGGAAAGTTTCAGTTCAGATTAGGGTGGAGTTTGAATGAGCTCTCGCCTTGCCCTAAACCCCAAAGCGTATCATTTTTATACTTATTGGAAAAGGGTATTTTGACACAATTGATAGATACATGGCTATAAAAGAGTATTTTGTTTTATACGATAGCTAATTCATGAGCGGAAATCTCTTATATTAATATTTGAACTGACTCAAATACTTAAATGGATCATATGACATTATTTTCTTATCTCTTTATGCAAATTAAAAAAAATTAAATAGGACTCAGCTGCATTCTGCCCTATAGAATCAGTCCAAGAGAAACTAAGTAGGTGGAGATGGGGGTGGAGTGGGGAAAGGGAGAACGTCAAGAATGGTTTAGGTCCTGCTACGTTAGGGTTAAATTTATACACACATGGTGAGAGAAATCTTTTGTTCTTAATAAGACTTGTGTCACCTTTTCCTGACTTAGGCCATACAGTGCCCCCTGCTCCCAGAGGAGCTACAACCTAGTCTCAGCCATTAGCAATAGGAATAGAGTTTTGATAAGTTTATAGCAAAACAGCACATATCATCCTGAACAACTGAACTTCCTGAGTTCTAGTTCAATACCACAGAGGAAAGCGCACAAGATAGGTGTGGCTGCAAGAAGGTGGGACTGCTCAGATTCAGGTGAGCAAGGGAGGAGAATGAGCTACCTTTCTGGCTGGGGCTCAGGCTGAAGCAGTCAGTTAGAAGGACCCAGAGGCAGCAGCTGAGTGCCAGCAAGTGGGAGGTGCTACACGTGGCACCATGGGTGCTGAGACAAAGATCAAAAGACTGCCTGCAGCCATTCCACAGTTGGCATTCTTAAGAGATTTGGTGGATCCTTTGATCTGCTGGTTGGCTCTAGTAACATGGTTACAGTCTCTAAATTTGGCCCCCACATGCAAAGACAAATGAGAATGTAGAATTACAGGATGAAAGGTTTGCAAGTGCTGGGTCAAGCTGAATGTGTCCTGTGGTGGGAGTTTAAATTTCCAGCCCCCAGTAAAATACTTCAAAGAGGATCCCACCTGACCATCATCCCCAGAGAGAGTCTCTCATTAGTAAACACAAAGGAAGGGACAACGGTGGGGGCTACACTGTGCAAACAGGGTCGACTTGAGCAGTAACTATGTGTGAGACAGACCCCCATCTCCATGGTTTGAGCACTTTGGCACCACTGGCAGTATTTCTTACAGCGGGCATATGAGAAATAAAGCCAGGAAATGATGACAAGCAAATTATTATGTCATCAAAAGATCCAATATAAATAGGAACCTACACTCACCAACACAAAGTTATAAGAATTAGAGCTTTTCATGTTATCTATCACAAGCTCTTTTACTATGAAAGTTTAAATAAAATACAGAATAGATCAAATATATTCAGCCTCTTAAAAAGTTTCATTTTTTCAAAGATAAATGTAAAGGACTTTTAAAGAGTTGGTAGATGATGTGTATTCCTTACCTCATCACTTTGGGCTACTTCTATGACTCTGGTGGGTAATTAGTATAGCACACAAATAGAAGACAATAGACTAGCAAGCACACACTTCCAATGAGCTGTCTTTTGCTGGTGGTCACAGGCATGCCTCATCTCCCTGCACAGTGCTTTATTGCGTTCCGTAAAGACTATGTGTATTTATTTCCAGATTGAAGGTTGGCCACATCACCATGTCACATTAAGTCCAAGACACCATTTTCCCAGCAGCACATGCTCCTCTTGTGTCTCCGTGTCCCAGGTTATTAACTCTCACAATAGTTCAAACTTTCCCGCAACGTTATTGCCCACTCAATAGACTACAGGATAGGGGAAATATACTTTCATACTCGGATGCTCTGGGAAATTATTTAGAAAAATTCATTTGACTCGCTTTATTGCAATATTTGCTTTATTGCAGTACTCTGGAACCGAACCCGCAATATCTCTGAGGCGTGCCCGTACATTAAAAAAAGAAGAAGATAAAAAGGATAAAACAGGACAAGGGTTTGAAGGCAAATTGGATATTACTGCTGATAGTCTCTCCCATCTGACATACTTCCATCTGAAAGTCAGGAAAGTAAAGAGTAATTCCAAAGGAGAGAAGAAAAAGTTAACAATTACTCAATAGGAGAAACCCATCCCATAGAATAAGAAGATCATTGATGTCTTTATGGTGTTATGTTAGAGCTCTGAGAATTTTCAACTGTTAATCATTTTCTGATGATTCCCATAAATACTTCCCAAATAAGAACTATATGTTTAGATGAATTTTTAAAATCTTATAGAACCTACAGGGAAACTAATTATTAATGAGATTCCAATAC